GTAAAGATTAAAAAAAAAAAAAAAAACTCCTCGCATTGTGAGCTTGGGCCGCCTGTGGTTTGATATTATTTGTTTTCATCAATTCTGTCGTCACATCATCGACTCATCTGTGAAAAAGGGTAATTAGCGAGACAAGGCGCGGAGTACACCACCGAGCGTGGAGCGCGGGACTAAGGTTTATTTTTCGTCGCTCCTTTTTCGCGTTCCGCGCCAACATTTTTCTGCCGTGTTCTCGGCCCGTTTACGCACGTGTATCGCGCGCGCGCTCTGCTGTTCTCCAGGCCATCTACAGCTTGCCGGGCTGCACCACGATGAGCCCGAATCCTAAGTACTTCAGGCATATTATAGTAAGAGAGTTTATCTCCATAAAGGTCCCACTCTCAAAGCCCCTTGGGAGTGATCTGAAAATATTTTGAAAGGGATTACTTCGGAAATAAGCCTTATATGGGGGATTATTTCCCTTTATAGCCTTCATCCAATCTTGAGGAGAAGAAAACGATTTCTTTTACCGCAACATCTACAGCACCAACTGAAATACATAAAGCCTGGAGTTTTCGTGAACCGACCATTTTTCTAATGATCAATATCAATCTGAAGATCATAATTATTTTGACAGCTATTTACATTACGCACGAGTATAATGAATGTCTATCACAGTCGCTGGCATTCTCAACTGACGCGTGTAATGTGTTTCAACGCGTGCCATGCACATTCTATTTATTTCCAAGACACTTGTCATTTCTAACACTACATTAGCCGAGTTGCTGATTTTGATATTGATTTATTTGAGTAAATCAGCTGGAGATAGGTCAGAGCTAACGCATCTTGAAAAATTTTACCTTTTTACGCGTTCTTCTATCACAAACCATTTTTTTCCCGGTAATATCTCTTTTTTCATGGAAAGAAAGCACTACAAAGGGTAATACATTTTGATACAACCTGGTTTTCTTGGCTCGAATTGTCTTTGGCGAAACTGAAAAAGGGAGTTAACTATCCAGCTGTATTCTTTCATTTTATCTGCTTGGAGATGCCAACATATCCATGAAATTGTCTTATTTATTGGAAGAAAAAGACTTGACATTTAAGAAGTGGGCTTTTAATTAACGACTGATTGAAAGACAAGAAATTGTGGAATGAAAAATGAATTTGAAACTAAAAAACTTTGATTTGATAAATTTATTACAGCTTCAGTTAACCTCCATCAGTCTTTATTTTACAAAATAACCACTAGCTCTTTAGTGTATCAGAATATTAGTTTTACATTGAAAGTTGCCAAGCAACAAGGCGTCTCCTCAGTTAAACGAAACGTAAATAGTCGAGTATCATATATAGATATATTCAGGTGCCTTGGAGAAATGTTGTTCAAAATCATGGGGGGTCAATTGAAAGCACGATTGTTTCAAAAAAAAAAAAAACTGAAAAAAATAAACAGATAGTCCTTAATCGAGAAGCAAAATTTACATTTGTTCCCGTCGATTTTATGAAAATAATTAAAAAAATGCAAAAGAATAATGATAAAATTAAAACATTCCATTTCATGGTCTTTTCCATCCCTTGAAGGTTTACTAAAGTAAACTGGAAAATTCAAAGTTTCGTTTATTGATCAGTTTAAAAGCAATTTTTAAGTGAAAAAAATGGCAGGCGAATGTCTATTGACTTCTTTTCTCAATTAACACGAGTTAGTTTTCTGTATGGCCACAAGAGAAAACCTGCTCACAAAATAAACACATTCAGCACACGAAAATCGTTCGGCGCAAATTGGTTCTCCACAATCCATTGTGTTGCTTCTCAGGTGAACAAGTATGCTATCACCTAATGCCATTCTCTCTTAAAGACGCTTTTAAAACTATGTTGAAGCCACTGCAAACAGACTTTACGCTGCGCAAATATCTTTTTATTCAGCAAACAGCGACACCCATTAAGGCCCCTTTAGTTTTTGTGATGAAATACACTGTGAATGGATTTCTTGCTGACGTGACGCAGCTGGTGTAAACACGCTTGCGCCTGGAGTTTTTGCTGTACCCGAACTAATTCGCCCCGCGGCTCATTTCGAATACTTATCATTCTTTTTCAGTTTGGCTGGCAGAATGGAAATTCGCTGGCTTGCGTTGCTGTGTAGCTGGGCGCTGTTAGCGCAATTTTCGCTGGCGTTTCCAGAGGAAGAACTACTGGAAGAATTTGAACTCGACGAACCTGAACCTTTAGGTAAAACTCAAAACTAGTTTTGCAACAAAAACATTTCTCGACCTCTTCGGTGAAACCACTGATTTAGGTGAAATCCAATAGAACATGGAGACACGTGTACTTCTCTTGTTCTCGTATATCAGACTGGTTAATATGACCAAATGCAATATTTGTCTAATATTTGGTAGACTGGATGCCTCTTTCTTAGAAATATCAACGATATCAGTTTTGAGTAGAATAGATCGTTTTCTACACATTGAGCCATTTTGAACATGTTTGCTTTTGGAAAAAAAATCCGTGAAAAAGCTGGTTTTGTAGTTGTAGGGTATAGTTTTGTAGATTTTAATTCAATTTTGCCGTCGTTTTGGTTGGCCAATTACTTTTAGAAACCTTATAAAAAATTCGTATTTTGTTGGTTCCACGGCAAATCTCTGCAAAGTTCCACTTTGTTGTACGATACCTAAATTTGCTTTTGTAGTTTAAGGATTTTGCATTGTACGAAAAAAAAATATGACTAACGATGTTTGGTCCTCATCATTTCCTGTTACATATATGTTGTCTTATATTTGTTGTTTGCGACAGTTCCAGAAAAAGAAGAAGTCAAGGACCGCGAAAAGCGACAAAGTAAGAAAATTACCTCGTGTTAATGTGGTCACCATGTTTTCAATTTGTGCCATGTCAAGCCCAGACTGAATATTTAGCTGCCGAATTAAGCCTAGGGCGGATACAGGATATACAGGATTTTAGATGAGGGAGTTCGAGATACGGACCGCCAAAGGCGGTCCCCTGTGGGGGGTTCCGGGGACATCTTTCCCGGAAAATGTTATTATTGAGGTCCTCGGAAATGGGATTTCCGTCATTCTTAAGGCCAAGCCAGCGTGTTATAATGTCTCATTTTTTAAATTTAGGTTCGAGCGAACTCCACGAACCCCCGCCCCCCCCCCCCTAGACCCGCCCTAGTAAAAATTAAGTACGCAAGAAATTTCACCCATGGGTTTCCTCGCTAGTGTAATAACGTTTGCTTTCCTCTCTAGCTTGTGTTTTCTGAATATTCTTGTATTTTAACTTAGTAAGGGCACAGAATCTTTACAGTTAGAATACAATTTCAAGCTTTCTTCGAGACTGAAACACCGCCCCCTTTTACGTTTCCAAGGTGTATTTAAAATCCTTGCAGCTGAGTCCACAACAAGCGGAGCCTTTCTGGATGCAAATGATCCGTTTCGTTGAATTGCAAATCGTTTTTCTCAAAACCCGCAATCCTAAAATTACTTCATTATCTCACATGAGTCTTTTGTCGGAAAAAAAAAATCTTGAATGGTGTCTTAAAACTTGTTTCGCTTTCAGTTGAAATCCCTGAGAAAAGGGAAATTTTTCCACTGTAAATTTTCTCGTGATTAAATGAGGAAGAAAGGAAGATTTTTTACCGTTGATAATTTGCATTACTTGGCTTCTTGGACCAGTCATTTTTAAATATAGAATTTTAAACTTTGAAACGGCTTTTTACAATAACTGTCTAATTTCTCGCGCGCTGACTGGCTCATTTTGATCATCAATAAGAGTACAGACAGATAAATATTTAATTTATGCAAGCTTTCACGTTCAACTTTCAGCTGTCAAACTGTCAATTTTTTAACCAATGGGATTTTATGGAATTTTTTGAGTAGCCAATCAAAAAGCGAGAAAAGCTATTGACAAAATTGGCATTTTTAAAAATAAATTCGCTTATCTTTATTTACGGCAAGTTTACGGCGTCTGTACCCCTCATTTATTCTTGGCATTTGACCATTTTGGGGTCTTGTTATTGTTAAAAACAAGTTGACGTCAGTTTTTTTATGCGTCTGTCGTCTTATTGATGATAGATTGCGTCATAACATTGTCAAAGTTCCACAGCCACTTTGACAATGTTATGACGCAATTTATCATCAATAAGAGAACAGACGCATAAAACACTGACGTCAATTTGTTAACTTCAAGATGTTTCCAGAGGGTTTAGGTATCTTCAGTTTGATTTTGGAATATGTCAGAAAGGTCGGGTACACGCATGGCAAAGGAGAGGGAGGGAAGGAGGGGGACTTTTGCCGTTTTTTTCCCTTAGATTGTAAATGTTAAGTGACCTGGTCAACGACGGGGCTGGGGAGAGGGGGTAAAATGGCAGCGGCAGTGGCCTTTATTAGTCATAGTTCTTGTCTTGTACTGGTTCAAAATGATACTTAGTACAAAATTATAGAACATTGCAGAAATATTTGTGACTATAACGAAATCGATTAAAAGAAAAAAAAAAAACTGTAAACCTAAGTACAAAAGACAGTTTCAAGCACACAACTACGTCATCTACTGTAAGATTTAACATTACCAGAATTACGGGAAAGTTCCGATAGTAACAACTTCCCCCTCGCCTCCATAAAGTAGCAACCCCATGAAAGCAACAATAAAGTTTCCTGCCTGTTACCAAATCCCGAAAGAGGTGACGCGCTGAAAGTAACGAGCATCCACGAAAGTCGCGACTTAACCTGAATTTTTCTGTATCGAAATACAAGATACTACAAAATGTACCAAAATGATCCATGTTGTTATTTCCCTATGATTCTTATTACAAAAACAATATAGAGTAGGAAGTTTTCAATTAGCTGTCATAAAAGTAAAACCAAGTAATTACCCTGGGGAATCTCAAAACAGCCACAAAGGGTATAAACCGTCCAGCGAACCAATCATAGCTCGAGGTTAATACATGTAGCTTTCAGCCAATAGCATCAGGCCTAAACTAACCAATCATTTTCAACGGACCAGACTTATAACTCCATCAACTGACAAACACTTTTCACTGACACTGAAGATGATTTCCGCTCAGTTAGCGAAACGTCAGTCACCAAAAACAGGTCTTTTCAGAACTACCCTCACGCGGAAGAACACGCCATGCGAGCTATTGATACTCCAGATTGTAATCATTTACTATAAACCATTGTTCTAAAATTTAAGTTAGGAATAATAATAATAATAATAATAATAATAATAATAATAATAATAATAATAACTTTATTACCGTGTCAGTCTTTCTAGTTTTTACAAATAAAAACTAATTGGGGACACCTATCTACATTACTCCATAAATAAATAAAATAAGTTTACAATCTAGTATATGTACAATAAAAGAAAAGAAAAGAAAACCTATATAAATACAGTTTACAAAATCAACAAAAACTAATTTCTACACGAATAGCAATCCTTACATTTATATTGCGATACAACGTCTGACAGGTCGAGCGCCCTGATTTGATTTTTAAAAGCATTGAAGGAGTCAGCCAATTTAATAGAGTTATGCAGCTTCGATTAAATGAAAGGTCCCATATATGTTAAACTATGTCTCCCGTATGTAACAGTATTACATCTTGGTAAGGAAAAATCGTCTGCATTCCTAAGGTTATACCTACTCATGTTACAACTAAAAAGATCTGATATATATGATGGAACTAAGTTAGTCCTGACTTTATACATCAATATGGCTATGTCCTGAAGCCTGCGATCACGTAACGTTGGTAGTCTAGCTTTGTCTAGTAGCACTTCATAAGTACTAATCCTGTCGCAGTAAATAGGAAAGATTCAAGATCTTGTCATTATACGTTGGTAAACTTTTAAAAGTGGATGGATATTTTGTTGCTTGTAATTCAATCCATCCTCCATTAAGCATGTTGACACCGCTTTCTCCTGTAAAATACGTGTTGACTCTTTTCATTAGGTGGGTGTAAGGACTTGCTAGATTACTGTGCACAGTGGCCGGACGATTATTGCCAAACCTATAAAGATTATATGAAGACAAACTGCCCCCAAAAATGCGGCTACTGTAGTAAGTATTTATGATAATTGAACATGATAATATATGGAACGTAAAATCGATTTAAACTTCATTTTTTTCTTTACTTTTGAAATGACGTAAAAGTCAAACTTTTAAGTGACATGCAACGTACAGATCAGAGCGCGGGGCCGAGTTCAGTCAGAATTTAAACAATTATCATGCTTAATCCCGTGGAATACTTCCTAATATTTAGAACATAAACCCTAGCCACAACGGCTGCTCATGGTTTGGTCTTATTTGGCAATACCACATTAAAAACCAGTTTCTTTTGTTTTTCTTCTTGCATTATTATCTACATACGTAATTAAACGGCATGTCTCATTAACATCTTGACATTCGGGAAACTTTCTTGGCCAGCAGTTTCACATCACACGAGCATGAGTGAAACTGAGGTTATATAGAGCGTTTTAACTCACGTGTGAAAACGCTCTATAGACCGCCGAAAGATTTTAAATATCAAACTGATGTTGGTGTGAATCTATAGCTCTGTCTGTAGAGCACTATTCAGCTAGCTAAAACGTGTAATCATAATTATTAGAATTAGAATTTAATAACAAATAAATTAATTATCGTTATTGCCTTGTAGGTGGACCCACTAATCCTCCAGGTAACTAAATGTGAATATTAAACGGTTTACGCTAGAGATTAAAAAAAATAGTATAAGTTAAATTTATCCTGTAATATTGTAAAAGCCTTATGTTTTTTAGACTAATTTTCATGATATTTTTAATTTTTGTGATTCTTACCCAATGAATTTTCTTAAATTGTCTACCATAGCTGTCTCAAACTGTTATTAAAATATAAAGCTAAATGACGTTGTTTCTCTTCCCTTTTCTCCAAGTAAAGCAGTGAAGAATATAGATGCTATATAAACAATAGCCTCCATTTGGGGCGGAAATATGCTCGGATATTTGTCCGCGGACATTTTCTGTTCCGAGAAGTGAACAGTTTTCCGAGAGCGTAGCTCGAGGAAAACTGTGAGCTTTGAGGAACTGATAATGTCCAAGGACAAATATCCGAGCGTATTTCCGCGCCAAATGGAGGCTATTGTGTTTTTCATCCTTCAAATATTTTTCGAAACACGCGCGGTTTTGAAAATTGGGGAGTACCACTCGGATATTCCCCAGCTGGGAATTATTCAGTCACGTGAAGTGTTTAGACCAATCGCGCGCGAGCGAATATATTGGATGGATTATATTTTGAGACAATTTTAGACCTTTTTGTAAGGTAAATGGTTTTG